TCGTTTCCTTTTTTCGCCTTCTTTTTTCTCTCTCTCTCTCTCTCTCTTTCTTTCTTCTTCCTTTTATTTTCTAAACAAGGTCTCAGGGAGCCCAGGTTGGTCTTGAATTTTCTGTGTAGCCCAGGATAACCTTGAATTCCTCCCCTCTCCGCCTCCAGAGTGTTAAGAATGACAGGAGGGGCTGGCACTGGGGAGGTGGCTCGTTGGATAAGGGTACATTCTGCTCTTACAGAGGACTCAAGCTCAGTTCACAGGAATACCCTATAACTCCAGCTCCAGGGGCTCTGACACTCCCAGCCTCTAAGGGAACCTGTACTTACACACCCACACAGACACACAAAAACACACATGTTTTTTAAAAAAATGAATTACAAGAGTGTAGGAGCCACTATGCCTGGTCTATATAATGTTAGGGTTTGAACCTAGGGCTTTTTTTATTTTTGTTTTTGTTTTTGGTTCTTTGAGACAAGGTTTCTCTGTGTAGCTTTGGAGCTTTTCCTGGAACTACTCACTCTGTAGCCCAGGCTGGCCTCGAACTCACAGAGATCCACCTGGCTCTGCCTCCTGAGTGCTCGGATTAAAGGCATGTGCCACCACTGCCCGGCAAACCTAGGCCTTTTTTATTTTTTTTTTTTTTTACGTTTTATAAAATCTTTATTGACAAATAATTCACATAGTATACAGTTTGCCTGTTTGCATAATTTGATAGACTTTAGTCCAGCATCCTCATAGGCCCATGACATCATCACCACTTTCTATTTTAGAACATCGCTGTCTTCAATTTCATACACACATATAATGTGTGGTGATTACATTCCACCTTATTTTTTTAAATGAACATAATATTTGCAATTATAACCATTTTTAAGTTCACAATTCAGTGGCATGAATTACAATCAAGATGTTAATTACAATCATGATATTCATTAATTACACTCATGATATTTATTACATTTGTGGTATTCATTGATTACATTCACAGTATTCAATAACTATATTTATAATATTCATTAATTACATTAATTGTATTTTATTTATTACATTCATGATATTATGTCCAGATACTACTGTCTGTTTGTGGGGCTTTTCCATCACACAAAACAGAAATTCTGTGTTTGGGAAATCATTGCTCTGTATTCCTTTCTTCTCCATCTTGAGACAACATCTAATCTTTCTGTCTCTATGAATTTGTATATTCTATATATTTCATGTAATACAATTCTATAGTATTTGTCCTTTTTTAAACATAAAAGCATTTTATGTACAACTACAGGAGAAATAATACACAGATAGCTTGAACATAAAAACAAAACCTAGGACTTTTTGAAGTCAGGCAAACACTCCGGCAAGTGAAATACAGCCCTAACCCTCAACCATATCCATGCTTATTCCCCTGAGCAGGCTATTATCCTGGCCAGAAATCCTAATGGGTTTTCTATTTGGTTTCTAACATTCTGATCTTATTGCCTACCAGCCCCACATCGATCCCTGTTTCAGCCAACTGGTCTACTTGCAATTCTTCCATCTGTTCCACTTTCCTCAGGCTCCTCCCTCCATCTAGAAATCACCCAGCCTCCACGTCTGCCTGCGAGTGCAATTGGTTACTCCAGAGGCAGGCCAAGCGCCAATGGTTCTGGTGAGGGTCTTGTCCACTCACCTCTCTTTCACCGCTCCTGCTGACCACACGTTAGCCTTAGGTCAATGTTTACATGTTATTATTTGTGTGCATGCCGTGTTTGCCTCCAGTGTTTCTTGAGGGCCCACGATATCCCGGGGGTACATACTAGGTATTTGACATGTGCTGTCTAGTTCAGTTCAGTCCTCACGGCAGCCCTGTGAGAGAGATACGACTCCCTTCGTTTTACAGGACAGGAATCTGAAGCTGTCGGGGGGATTAATGATCTTGATTCCTTACTAAATGGCACAGACGTCACTCACTCAACAAATTTTATTCCATTTGGTGTCTGCCAGATTCCTAGGACCCCCTGGGCCTTTCGGTATGGATTGGGTCCCTCTGGGAGCAATTAGCACAGCAGCCTCAGGACTAGGCAGATCATGTCAAAGGCAGTTTTCTGCCCCTCTCCTTTGATTTAGATTTGTTGCACTATGGAAAAAAAAAAAAAATGTTTGGCTCTCAGTCAGCACTTAGCCTGGGCCGGCACAGGGCTAAAGAAGTGATTCATGTGGACAAACATCACCCAGGATGTTTTGTTCCACCGGTGACCCCGATTGTCGTAAACCTGTGACAGGCGTGCCAAACCCCGGGCACACAGCCAGCGTCTTGCACTCCCAGCACCATGCCACCTCAAGAGAACCTCAAGCCAAGTCTCCCCTCTTCCTGCTTCAGCTTCTCTAGAGAGCCTGTGACAGACAGCATTACTGCCCTGGCTTGATAAGAGGCTCTTGAGACATTCATATGATAATCAAGAACGGAGAAGGGTGAGTCTCCCTTGAGCTGGACTTTCACCCTTTAGTGTTGGAAACCCCCAAACTAGTTGGATCAGTTCATATTGCCTCATGAAGAACTCCATAGTAATGGACTCATTCCCGTCTTCCTCATCATTTTAGAGTCGAGGGTGTTTAGAGGCCGTTCGCTCAAGGGCAGCTGATGCCCACGGCCAATGAGCATGCCTCCAAAGCCAGTTCATCCTGGCCAGAGGGGTGGATCTAACTAAAGCATCTGAGCCAAGAAGCAGGGATGAAGTAATTCTATTTTGTATTTGAGGTGTATTTTTTTTTCTTTCCGTCCTCAAGACAGTCTTCTCTGACGTTGGTGTTATCAGACTGTCTATTCCACAACTCCCAAACTGTGGAATGTTGGACACCTATCCACTGCCTTCAGCTCACTCCATCTTAGGCAAACATTCCTTGTTTAAATAGGTCTAAAGGCAACATTTGCTCACAAAGTAGAGTTCTTAAGCTGATATTCGTCCCTCCCTCTCAACCAAGATGGTGTAAGTGTTCAAAACCTTCAGTGTCTCATATGGCCCATAGTGGACAAAGGTCTTAATGATAATCTGCTATTGAATGGTAGAATTCTTAATTTCCACAAAGGAAATATCAGTGTTTAATTCTTAGGCAAGGGAATTAGACCACAGGCCACCAAGGCCAGTGAACCAATGTCACTGGGAAGATCATCATGTTCTTGGTTATTTTTAAAATCTATCATGAAGCGGCTTGGTAAATATGTAGACGGCCAGAGCCAGGGTATAATAATTGGGACAAGTAAATGTTCTAAAAAGCCCACTGCCTGGGGTCACTTTCCAGTTACTGCTGTTTCCCCCAGTATGGAATGTGTATATTGATGACATGTGTATTAATATGAGCATACACGTCCCAAATGAAGGCCAGAGGATGACTCTCTGGAGCCTGTCTCTCACTATGTAGCTGAGGATAAACTTGAATTTCTGATCCCACTGCCCCTACCCCTCAAGTGCTGAGATTACAGACATGGGCTTCCATGCCTTGTTTATTCAGTGTTGGAGAATCAAACCAAGGGCTTCGTGTACTCTAGACAAGCACTCTATAAACTATGCAAAACGTGAGAGGTTTGAAAACATGTCAAAAGTCTAGCACTGGAGAGGAGGGCTAAATGTCAAACCTAGCTAGGGTTTGAGAGGTTAAAATAACCCTTGTAATTACATCCCAGCCCTGGGTCACTTCATTTTTTTAAAAAAATATTTTTATTTTATGTTATGAGTGTACCGTATGCAAGCAGGGCCCTCAGAGACCAAGAGAGAGTGTCACATCCTCTGGAACTGGAATTAAGAGATGACCGTGTGGTTGCTGGAAACCAAACCCAGATCCTCTACAAAAGCAGCAAGTTCTCTTGACCACTGAGCCATCTCTCCATCCCGATGGGTTACTTTGAATATTAATGAATCTTTGAAGTCAAACTTTATTCGTGTAAAAATCCCCTTGGTTCGTTCATGATGTGTTATATTGTAGACAGGCTAGTGCTTAGAACCTCGACATACTACTAGTACTCCTCAAGGAACTGAATCAGCATTGTTAATTAACACTGGTGACTTAAAAGGACTGTTTTAACCCCTCAAAACTTTAGCCTGGTTTGACATTTAGCATTACTCCTACAATGTTAGTCTTTTAACATGTTTTCAAATCTCTTACATTTTGCATAGATAAATTTTATTCTGCCTTCCCCGATATAGCTCTTGTAAATATTTTATTGTTGCCTCTACCATATGTTTTTAAGTCACTTAGAGCACAAACCAAATATTATTTCACTAATATAGAAACCATTGAATTTTGCTATTCCTAATGTCATATCCCCCCCGAAAAAAAAACAAATTTCAAAAAAGCATTTTTTTTTGTTAGAAGACATTCACGATCTACTGTCTGAATTATTTGCTAACGTTTTCGAGACACCTTGAAAAAGACTTATGGCATATGTTAGCAGAAGTTCAGCAGAGAGAGTGGGAGAAAACACGTTAAAGAACTCAAAGGTGGGACATGCCAAACACTGAGCAAAGCGTGCAGGGGAACAGGAAGAGCAGGATCACTGTCGGCAACTGGAGGGCAATTGGGTGTTAACACCAGAAGGCGCTCTCCCCAGCTTCCCACCCTCAAACCTCAAGGCTCCCGACTCGTCTCCTGCCTTTCCCCAACTTTCCTCTCACCCTTTCCTCTTTCTGTTTGGCCTCTCAGCGTTATCGACCACTTTTTAGGTAATTTCATCCCATCTGGAAAGCAACTCCTGTCTTCTTTCTCTTTCTTTCTGGGGACGACTCCTTCGGACCTTACTTGCTGAGCCAGAGCTGAGAGCTTGTGAGGGTGATCTATTTTGGGAGTCCTCCAATGGGCTGGCCTCCCCCATGACAACGCCAACCTGCTTCCCTCCCCCCAATCCCTACTTCTCATCCCTAGAGAAATTTGAACTCTGTGGCCCCTGAAACTATGCCTGGATCCCTAAGGTCTCCATCTGGAGCGAAGCTTTTTTTGACCAAAGTGAGATCAGGTCAAGGGGGTGGAGTGGACAGTACCTCTTTGCAGGCGTGAAGCTCGGGTCCGGCTCCTAGGGTCACCTGGACGGTGGTCCCAGCCCAGAGCAGCAGCCACATAAGCCGAGATGTGCGCCTTTCAGTTCTTCCTCCGCCTCCGGCAGAGGGATGAGGGTTGAGACCAGGCTCAGCCATAGCGCTGTCCTGAGCCAGCGGCTGTAGCGGCTCAGGTGCTGCGGTAGCTGCTTATGCTGGCAGAAGGAGGAAAAAAAGAGGAGGGAGGTACACAGGGGGAGGATGCAAGGGGCTGGACTCGCTTCAGTCACCTCCCTGCGGCTACGCCAAGGCCGCCCATCCTTCCTCCTCCCTCGGTCCTTTCCTCCTCCTATCCACGTCGCCTTGACAACCGCATCCTCTTCGCTCAGCGCGGGTGGGGCAGGGACCACGCGGGCCTCTGCCGCTCACCTGCCGGTCTCCATGGCAGCCGCCACCGCTGGCGCGCGGCGTGGGAGTTCGCGCGCCAGGGTTTGCAACTAACCCAACAGGCTTACGTAAAGCACGCGGTAGAAGAACCCTCCAAGCATCCGCGGCAGTTCATTTCGCCCCTATTGCTCTTCCTGGCCAGAGGTCATTTCTAATCATCTCTTATTTTGTAAACGTGGCATGTGAAATGATAAAGGGAAGACATACGTCATCACTACCTTCGAGGGATCGTCTCCTAGAGTGGCCCCAGCACTAACTGCAAAAGCTACTTCCATCCTCCCACCCCGCCAAATCCATCCATGTTTTTACAGCCGGGTCGATGAGCAACCCTGACGTCTGCATAGTTAAACAGCAAGGAGAGTGACCTAACCGACCCTTTTCCAGTCAGGACACGTCAGATCTTGGGGGTTTTGACATTCTCGGACTCTCATTGCTTTGAAAATGGAGAAGCTTTCTTTTAGGTGAGGGTGAGAAGGAAACCTCTGGGTCATCCTAAAGGACTTCCTTCGTCAGCTTTTGCGGGGCTCCCAAGCTGTTGGGAGGCCAGCGTTTTCCACCTAGGGCTCCAGAGAACACATCCAGGTCTCCTTTCCTCGGCATTCACAACAGCCTCCTCCCAAGGAGCCTTCTGAGTTGAACCGCCAGGTGGCGCATCTCTCGAAGGAAATATATCTCTGTCATAAATGGAGGGGTAGTTGCCTGGCAACCAAAAACTGGGCGTTCCAAACAATTGGGACCGGGGATCCTGTACGAGACAGGTCCGTGCTTTGGCTGCGCTAATCTCCTGGGACTAAGCCAGCATCTTTGGGCCTTTAAGTATGCCTCACTCTCAGGAATCGTTCTCGCACCCTACCTTAAGTGAAGAAGACTCACACTTGGGAAGTCTGCGGGCTTCTAAGGTACTGAAGTTTCCTCAGCAAATTCCCAGTGGGGTCTCCAGGAGACTCCCGGTACCCTAACTCTGGTGAGACCACCGAATGCCAGAGAAAACTGTTTTCTGCCTGTCTCCTTGGCCTGCTGTTTGGGTCTGCTAACGTTTCAGAAGTGGTTTTGAGCAGAGGGAAATGAACTCTACTGTAGAATAAGGTCCGATAATATAAGTGATGGGAAAGCCGGGTTCCACCAAGTTACTATTTTTTTCTCTTTTTTGGCTTTTATGATTGTTTGTTTTGCTTTTTTTCTAGACAGGGTTTCTCTGTGTAGCTTTGGAGCCTTTCCTGGAACTTACTCGGTAGCCCAGGCTGGCCTCGAACTCACAGAGATCTGCCTGCCTCTGCCTCCCAAGTGCTGGGATTAAAGGTGTATGCCACCACCGCCCGGCTACCATTTTTTTCTTGTTTTGAAATCTGTACTCCAAAGACAGATGAGATGTGGACTTTTCAGAGAAAAGAATGCTCTGAAAGACACTAGGTCATACTTCAAGCAAGCTTTCATGATACCTCTGTCCTCTGGTTGATGCAGGAACGCATCTGTCTATGTGTGTGTTTAATTTGTGTTCAGTGCTCTGGAGATACAAACCATGCTAGTATAAGTATTTGGGATATTTGAAGAGGTGCACAATAAAGTGAATTAAGTGGTAATCTGAGCTTGATAACAATATGAAAGCACTTCCTTTCAGTCTATATTTGTTATTTATATGCCAGACACTCTGCTAAACACTGAGGGCACATAGTCTAAAATTAGATATAGTTAATGTCCAGTTAGCTTAGTAAGGAAGCATCAGTAAAAATGTGTAGACAAGCCAAGCATATGCCTGTAATCCCAGCACTTGGGAGGTCAAGGCAGAAGAACCAGGAATTCTAAGCCTGCCTGAGCTATGAGAACCTGTTTCCAAACACAAAAGCAAACAAACACAAAAATGTGCGACCCGCAGTGGCGCATGTATTGTGAAGGAGTCACAGGTGGGATGTCCTGAGAATAGGAACCTGAAGGAGGGTTTCTCAGAGGTGAGTGTGTCTAGATGAGTTAGCTGGGACAGATGAAAGGTGTGTGTGTGTGTGTGTGTGTGTGTGTGTGTGTGTGTGTGTGTATTTGTAAAAAGAAAAAAATCAGATGCTCAGGAAAAGAAGCAGTAGGTGTGCATATGCCTGGGAAGGAGAGACAGAGTGGCCCGGGGAACTGAAAATCCAGACAAGCTAAATGTTGGTGTGAAATAGAAGACATAGGGTGATGGGTTTGAGAGACCAGACCTTGGTGGCTGAGCGTTGTGAGCATTGTGTTAGCAGGCTAGAAATCAGCCTGGAAGTGCTGGGAACAGAATCGTGGGATTTCAAGCACTGGAGTGTCACGATCAGTGTATGTTAGGAATCATACACAGTTATGTGCATGCCCTTCAGTAAACGTGTGTTAAATGAGTATAAGCAAAATGAAGGGCCTACAGCCTCAGCTACATAGCAAGTTCAAAACCAGCCTAGATTATATGAGACACTGTCCTAAAAAACAAAACTGGTGGCCTATGTGGGTAAACTTCATCGATGGGGGGTATGCCATTAACATTTATAGGACTGGTCTTTAGAGTATCATGTGCTCAGCTCCACGAGTTAGTTGTAAATATGTCATTGTTGATAGACATGTACTTTTGTTACATCCTTGATTATTATGTGAATAGAGTGTAGTCATATCAAAAGCAAAATTTAGAGTCTCAAGACAGTTTGCTGTGATACTCCCAGACACCTAAAGGAACTGAATCAACAAATAGTGGCCTGTGCACATTTACTATGACACTGATATTCACAATACCCAAGTTAAAGAACCAGTCTAGGTACTGTCCACATGAATAGATAAAGAAATTGTGATATGTAGGTGGAAGTTTCTCTCCTGCCTGCCTGTTCCCAAATACCCGGCAGCCCCTTCTTAAATAATATTAAGCCTCTGAGTCAATTATTTAAGAAGCAGCTGCCAGGTATTTGGGAAAATGTTGTGGGATAATGCTCTTGCACATTGTAAAGATTTGTCACTTGGTTTAATAAAACACTGATTCATTGGTAGCTGGGTAGGAAGTTAGGTGGGAAAGCCAAACTGAGAATGCTGGGAAGAAGGAAGGGCGGAGTCAGGAGTAGCCAGCCAGATGCAGAGGAAGCAAAATGAGATTGTCATTTTGAGAAAAGGTACCAAGCCACATGGCTAAATGTAGACAAGAATTATGGGTTAATATAAGTGTAAGAGCTAGTTAGTAATAAGTCTGAACCATTGGCCAAACATTTATAATTAATATAAGCCTCTGAGTGATTATTTTATAAGTGGCTGCAGGACCAGGCAGGATGCAGAAAAGCTTCCGGTTTTAGTGCTAGACAGACACGACCAAGTGATGTCCAGTCATAAAGAACAGATATGTTTCGGGGAGATGGGTGCAACATAACAAGGAAGACAAGGCAGATTCAGAAAGGCAGATGTGACATATGCATGATCTAGTTTAAGATTAAAGACATGGGGGCTGGAGAGATGGCTCAGAGGTTAAAAGCACTGCTTGTTCTTCCAAAGGTCCTGAGTTCAATTCCCAGCAACCACATGGTGGCTCACAACCATCTGTAATGAGATCTGGTGCCCTCTTCTGGCTTGCAGGGATATGTGCAGACAGAACACTGTATACATAATAAATAAATAAATCTTTAAAAAAAAAAAAAAGATTAAAGACATGAGACTGGAGTAGATGCGTGGTAGAACGCTTGCCCAGCATGAGTTTGATCCCCAACACAGCAAGGGGGGAAAGGGACATGAAAATAGAGAGGGGGCTGTTTGGAAAAGGAACAAGAGAGGATAACGGGGGACAAATACGGTCAGAGTTTTATGGAGGCACAAAAAATATGATGAATAATAAAAGATTGTATAGGCCGGGCGGTGGTGGCGCACGCCTTTAATCCCAGCACTTGGGAGGCAGAGCCAGGCGGATCTCTGTGAGTTCGAGGCCAGCCTGGGCTACTAAGTGAGTTCCAGGAAAGGCGCAAAGCTACACAGAGAAACCCTGTCTCAAAAAAACCAAAAAAAAAAATAAAATAAAAATAAAAATAAAATAAAATAAAATAAAATAAAAGATTGTATTTGCTAATGTACAGAGACTGTCACAGAATTGGTGATCAATGAATGCAGGCTCTTCTGGCTCTTAAAAAAATCACACACAGAAGTGGACTGGGTACAGTGGAGTGAGGCAGAAATGGCTCAGCTTGGAAACAGGTGCAGCAATCCTGAAGAAGGATACCGGACAGCAGTGTCATGGCGAGAAGATGGATGTTTGAGAAGGATGAAAGGGATAGGGCAGTGGGATTTGATAACTCGATATGGGCCAAAGAAAATGGATAAATATAAGATAGACTCCTGAGTTTCTGAGGGCTTAATTGGCACCATCACTGAGATGAAGCATCCAAAGGAAACAGGTTGGGGCAGAAAGATGTTGGCATCAATCAGGTGGATGTTTCTGTGGTGCCTGTGAAATCTTTAAATGATTTTGTGGTAGGCAGGCTTGAGAGGTTGGGATTGAAGATGTATGTCTGGGAGCTAATAAAACAAACACTATCAGAAGCAGAGAAAAGACTGAGCTGAGAAAGAAGGTGTAATAGCCAGAGACCAAAGCTAAACCAGAAGGAGTTGGACTCATAAGATGGAGAAGTATTTGTGGGGATTCAGAGTTACAATGCCAGAAATCTCAGGAATCAAATAAGGTCATGGCTAGCAAAGATCTTTCTAGTAGCCACAGAGATTGCTGCTCAAGAGCCAGGCCAGTTTCAGTGGGCACTGGAAGAGAGGCCAGACTACAAAGGATTGGAGACTTGAAGGGTGGAGAAGGGGAGACAGTAGCGGTTGACCCTTGCAGAAGTGTGGCTCTGTGGAGACGGCGACAGTGTGTCAGACACACCTTGATAAAAGGATGGTAGAGATGTTTGGGCCAGATGAGGGCATGGGGAATGGTCCAAGTCCAAAGAACAGGGAAGGGCTGGGTCAGAGATGCTTCCTTCTGAGTGAAGGACTTCTCCCTGTGACCAAAGGAAGGAGGTCCGCAGGCTGGCCTCAGTGACTGACGGTTGGTTTTCTTTCTTTTCTTTTCTTTTTTTCTATTTTTGGTTTTTTCAAGACAAGGTTTCTCTGTGTTGCCCTGGCTGTCCTGGAACTCGTACTGTAGACTAGGCTAGCCTCAAATTTACAAAGATCCGCCTGCCTCTGCCACTCAACTTTAGTGAAAGGCAATCCCCTTGTGCCAGTAGAGGAGATGGTGAGTCTTGCATGGCCTTTGAGGGAAGTGGCCGAGCTGCTCAGGGCCACAGCAGGGATAGCTGAACCTATGTTTGCACTGTGTGTACATATTTTACATATTTGCCTGATCCTACTGTTCAACCTTCGAAGATTGAACTGAGTTGAGTCACACAGTACTTTGCTACATGGAGGGAGAGGAGGCTAGATGGTAGTGCTTACTAGAATCAGTCATTGGTTTGATCAGGGCATAGTTTTATGTGTATTAGGTCAGCATGCTCGGAACTGAGGATACGGTGGTGAAAATGCTCAGTTTCATACACGAGAAACTCTAACTTTGTGTTGTTCTCACTTATGTCTGGGGTGTTTATAGAACTGAGTAGTGTTCACTGAGCTCTTTCTGACATTCCTTTCCATGACTTATCCTTTCTTGCACAGTATTTTTCTCACCTAGACACCACACTTTCTGACTTTGTCTCCCATTGCCGGAGTGAAAATACTGTCCCCATAGACCCTTCTGGTCAGGCTCTTTTTCTGCAGGCTTCAACCACTTCTGCATATGGACAACTTGATCTATCTCAATTGTTTCTAGCTCTCCAGTAAGCCATGCTCTTCCAGTTTTCTCTTAATTAGAAGTTTCATCTTTTCTCCAAACCTGGGGCTTCTAAACATGAACATATCATCTTTCTGGTCTGAAAGATGATATGTCCCCGAGCCCTCTCCTCTCCTCTCCTCTCCTCTCCTCTCCTCTCCTCTCCTCTCCTCTC